TGATTGTCACGCCGTGGTGTGCCCTCACCTCCTGCCCGCTTTCCTTTGTTATTCCTTCCTCTTGGTGGACTGTAGGGCCGCTCCTGGGCACATCTGCCGCCGGCCCGTCCGCTCCCCAGAGAGGCAGCGTTGGAGTGGTGCGCTGCTCTGCGGGGGGTGACAGTAAACAATGATTTGTGTTATTAATGGCGTGTCACTAATGCTCCTTGCATCTGGAACGCTAAGCAAAGCAAACTGTGCAACACGGGCTGGCGAATGTGCTAGTGAGGAGTTGTTTCACAATCCTGTATGCACAAGTGATCTTTTCCCACTGCACTTACTTCAGGTAACAATGCTTTTGCCTTTTCTTACAGCTTATAACTTTTTCAAGACATGGTGTGTTTTGCTTTAAAAAATGAAACACGTTTTTCAGAAGTTGTGTTCTTTCTGTCCTGGTGTCAGTGTCAAAATTCTTTACACCAAGAAGCACAGGTGTATGATAAAATTATTTACTATTACTTTGTCTTTACAGGAAAAAAATATTAGGGGGTTGGACTCAATGATCTCTGGAGGTCCCTTGCAACGCCTAACATTCTGTGATTCTTTAATTAGCAGGCTGTCAAGAAAAAAGTTGATTCTAAAGTCAGAATGAAGTTCAAGCCAAGATTGCCCTTGCCTCTTATGCAAGTAATAGTAAGAGACAGTTTATGGGGGTGCAGGTAACTCTTCAAAACATCTTTCTGCGATGTGTAGTCACTTCCAACAAAATCCTGCCTTGACAGTTTCCCTATTAAATTGAACAAAGATAAAGGGAGCTCTATGCATGAAAGAAGATGCCACACACCATAGGCATGTATAGGCAGTGAAACTGTTTTGGTTGTGGAATCACCTCTAGCTTTGGGTCAAAGATTTGTGGATATGTGTGATTGAAAGTGTGGTTATAGATTAGTATATATTCACCTTTGCTGGTCATATTAGTTGTCATGTGCCAATTCCATGTTTACCTATGCTTACTGTGTTGAGCTAACACAGCATATCTTGTGTTACTGCCTCAGGGATTTACAACATGAAGCTGTGATGAACAAGAACTTTATCTGCTTTTGCTTGTTTGCCTGCAATGTGCAGTTCACTGTAAGCAAGCGCTAGATGTCCAAAGCATGACCAAGGTGGGCAGGGTTTTGTAGGGCTGGCTAAAAGGAATCGTGAATGCCTATGGGGAGAGAAGCTATTCATTTTGGCAGTGTTTGTTTTGGAGCCTTGTCTTTTCCTTTAGTAACTTCTTGCTTACTCAGAATGTCACAAAATGAAAAATAAATGCTTGAAGCCTAAATCAAAGGAGGGAATGAGCCTGGGGAGATTTCTAGCAAGGTGGAAACATTTAACAGCTTTTGCTCAGGGTCCATGCTTCAGTTCCATGCTTGCTAGTAACTGCTTTGTTACCCACATTAGCTGCTTGTGAAAGCAGTTATTCTATAATTGCTACACTGTGCTGCGTTCAAACAACTGACCTCCATGTAAGAAGTCAAGGATGGACTTGTGTATTTGTCTTATGCAGCTTTTACAAGTGTGTGTGCTGAAAACACAGGTACACTCACCCCGATAGCATTGGACAGCAGTAGATTTCATCATCACACCACAACTAAGCATCATAAAGCTGGCAATGCCTACAGTGAGTTTCAGGAAAAAAAAAGTGGATTTAGGTTACTGGAGAGAGTAGTGTCTGTTATGCTGCAAAATGTTGTGCATGGGATCTCTAAAAATATATAATCGTCACTCATATTTGATAGGTGTGAATAGTGGTACAGTGGTATTATCTCTGTGTGCTAATCCTTGTAATTGTGCTTTTCAGATCAGCAGATTCACAAGTTATCAGGTCAGTGTGTCAGTGCTTGAAAAGTTGTGTCAAGGAATTTAGCAAGCAGACCAGAGAGGAGGGGATGAGCACAGCAGTTTGTCACCTTTGGGTAGCGTTGTTAGACTGACAACAGTGTGTAACAGATAGGTGAGCTATTCCTGCAAGATCTCCTGTGGGTTGCAGAGTGCAAGGCACCTATAAATGGTTATAAATGTATTTAGAGTTGAGCACTGTACTGCATTGCTCTCTGGCACCTTATACTGTGTGTGCATGTTTTTATTTTAAACTGGTCCCTGGTGGTTTAACTGAGTGGAATTCCCATCACCGCTCCCCAGCCTTTTTAATCTGCGGTGTCAGTAGGTTCCAGCAGCACTGTGTGGATGCTCCCATGTGAGAACAGGATGACCAAGTGGGATAGATAACTTAAGGATGAAGCCTTATGTGCATCCTTGAAAAATATCCTGTGGCAATTTTCTGTGATTTCCTTTAGCATTCATCTCTGAAGGCTACTCATCCAGTCTTGACATTTCAGAGGAGTACTCAAGCAGTAATCAACCTTTTCTCTGCAAAACACATCTGTGGTTGAAGAAACATATATACAGATCTTCTTTGCAACCCAAGAACACTTTTGTGAGAGAGGAGGAAGTATAGTCAAGTTATGCAAATAATATTCATATATAACTTTTGCAAGTGTATTGTTAAAATATGTGGTGAATTCTTAGCTTTTCTCCTTTGTGTTTGAATCTGTCTATTACGATTTGAATTCTGCAAGCTGGAGCAGTGAAAGCTTTATTACAGGTAGTCCATGAACAGAGTATTCCTGCCAGTGGGTTGTGAGTAAAGATGGCAATTATGTAATGAAGCAATTTATCACTGATTGCTAAAAGGTCAGAAGTTAAATGAATGGCTGACAATGTAACTGTAACTGCTGGACATATTACTTAGCAAATTCTTGTAGTTATCAGTCCACATTTGCTTTACTTAAAGGAAACCCCTCATGGTTGTCACTCATTTCTGATAGGACAGGAAGGATCTGGTTCTCGAAACAGAACAGATCTGCTAGTGTACTTAATATTAAGAAATAAGAAAACCAAAGGGTATGAAGTGATGGTAAAGGAAGGCAGAAGACCTAAAGCCATGCAGAATCTTTCCCTTCGTCGTTCCTTGTTACCCTTTTTGTTTCCTTTGTGTGATCATTAGCTGTCATGCGCTGTAGCCTGGCATAGGTGAGAGTGAGCTGCTTTCTGCCCTTCCATGGGGCTTGCTGGAGAGCTGCTGTAGCCAGATGAGTAGGTGTAGGGTGAGAGGAGCTCCTGTTGCCCTGCTCATTTCCAGGATATGGAGTTTCACAGGGAATATTACTATTTGTGCTGACTTGCTCCCAGAGATTTTTCACCCTATTGAGAGGTTGTCTTAGCCCTTGAATCCTGGGCTGTCACCTTCAGAAATACTGTGTGTATGTTGCTTATTGTCATCTTGCTACTTGTGCTAATCCAGTGGGTTTTTCTTTGTTTTTCTGTCTCCATCTTTGTTTAGGTGAGAAATCCTTGGAGCAGCAAAATTTTTCCTTTTTCTCAATGGACTCAAAGGTGCACCAAAGCATATCAGGCAGCAGTACACAAATGGCCTTAGCAAAAAGTACTTTGGAGTCCCAAGAAAGTGATTTTCTTCAAACAGTTTTATCATCAGTTACCACTCCTTTTGATGTGACTTTATTTAAGCAAGAAGAAACAGTCAGGATTTCCGAAGGGAGAAGTACGCCGTTGGTAGATGTCTCCGTGACAAGCAATGAGGCATTTTTAAGTGGCAATGAATTCATTAGCTCATTTCCAAAGGCACAGTGGATTCCTCCACTGAAGTCTTTTGCAGTTTTAACAGGTCATCACTCAGTTAATACAGCAGAGCCACCAAGAGAAATGTTAGAAACCGTGTTGCTAACACCTTCATTATCTGTCCTTTTTTCACCATATGATATCTCAGAAACCGCCCAGGAAAAGACTCCGTTGAGTGCTGTCCCTGAACACAGTAACACTCTTATAGAATTGAAGCCTTTTGTATCAGGTGGTGAAATGCTAACTGCAAGCGGAGACTTGCCACTGGACCCTCCAAATACAGCTGTTTATATGGCTTCCATTCCTTCAGAGGCAGAAGTTGCAGTGCAGGAAAACATAAATGCAAGTTTAACAGCTCTGCCTCTTGGGGCTGCTTCAGAAGAGTCACCTCGTCCTCTCAAGCTGCTGGATAAAACTAGACCTGTGATCCCAGGTGTCACAGCACAAAGTACAGACCTGTATGGTGACGTTTACACTGATATGAGTAGCAGGGCAGCAGAAACTCTCAGCCTAAGGACCGACCCCAGCCCAAGCATTCCCTGGGCCACACCGGCTTCAGCAGGCAGTGCTGAGGCTACTTTGTTTCCTATTAGTCTTAGATCTTTCCCCCTTCGCTCACTTGCCATTTCCACAGACTCTACTGCGGTTCTTAATACCAGCCTGTTTACACATGAATCCTCTGGTACAGCACCAAATTTGCCTGCCGGTTCAGAAATACCAAGTCAGTCAGAGCTTGTCAGTGAGCTCACGAGTACAGTGCCTTCCACAAGATCATACAGTTCCTGTCTGTATTGCAACTCAGTTTCACTTCTGCCAGAAGCAGGCTTTTCCCCAGAACATGACGCGGGCTCAGGCGACTATGCTGAAACCTTGTCCATCAAAGCCTCTGAAGTACAAGGCATATCTCCGTTTACAACGATAATTACTTATGGATATGAATTCGAGGAGTCCACACCTGAGATTTTTGATACTGCTTTTCCATCAAGACCAGTTGTTTCATTTTCTTCAAGATTTGCAGAGATGCCCGATTCAAGCATGTTTTTATTAAGCACTACGGACACTGTCCTTAATGACAGAACACCTATAACAATTTCTTCTTCTTACCATCAGCTCCCTGGAGCAACGTCATGGAAAATCTCTTTTGCCCAGTCTTGCCTCACTGTACCGGAGTCAGTTGTGTTGATACCAAGCACTCCGGTAGAACTTTCTGATGCCACCTCTGTTCTTCTTGACTCTACCTTCATCCCGAGTGATCCGGTAGCATCATTTGCACGGAGTCGTACAACTTTGCTGGAGTTGCCAGAATTGATGCCATCAGAATCTGTGTTTTTGCTTGACAAGACATCTACAAGAGAGGAACCGTCTTTAGATATTTCAGATTTTCCATACAGTCTTTTATCAACACCCTTCCTTATTGAACCTAGCTACTTGTCTTTATCATCAGCCATGCTAAATTCTTATTCTGTCATGCAGAGTGATGTATCAACACTCTTACCTCAGACCTTGCTGACTGGCACATCAGTACTTTCTGAGGATGTTTCCAATTGGGTTTCCAGCTGGGACTTAGCTACCACCATCAGCTCTGCCACCGATGCTGAGGTTTCTCAGTTTCCTCTTGGCCAAACATCAGACTTCTATTCAAATGCATCCTCTTTACCAGGTGCACACATTCCTGAAATAATGCCATCATCACATTTTCACTCTGAATCATCCATGTTTCTGGAAGCATTCTCAGTATTGCCAGCAGACTCTAAAGATCTGTTTACCTCAGTTGTTACAGGAGCTACCTCTCAGCTGGAGCCTTCACTTTCCACTTCTCATTCCATGGTTCCTACTCTGGTGCTGCCCACTTCTGATACCCAGTCTGTTACCAGCAGCATCTTGCTCAATGAAACAAACCTGATCTCTTTGTTTACTACCTTTCCAGCAACTCCCGTCTTAAATGTATCTTCATCTCTACTCTCAACTGTTCCAGCTTCTGATGAGGATATTGGTGCTACAGTTAACCCCACGCTGCTTTTAACATCTCACAGCGAGGGCAGTGCCCACACAGCCCTTCCTTCTGCAGACCCTGACAACCTGACGTCACATGCCAACACCAGCAGCACAATGCCCTTTCCTACTGCATCTCTGTCTGTCACCACATTGTTTGCTCCCACAGAGTTTCCTCTGGCTTCTAGTTCTCCCACCGGGTATGAAGTTCCAGCAGGAAGCAGTGTAACTGCTGGTACTGATGCATCGGATGCTTCCACCAGTGTCCCCATGACCACTGCCATCAGTGCTACAGGCAGCCACGGCACAACTGCTGCAGGTGGCCTGGGGACATTCTCCTCCACCCATCTGGTGACCACTACTCCATCTGAACCTGTAGTTGTAACCTCTGCTGTGACCACTACAAGGCAACCCTACGTCTGTGACATCACAGTTCCTGATGCTTATTTAGTCACTGCAGGTAAAATACTCCTCTAACATTTCAATTTTGTTTTTCAGACGCCATTTTAATGTGACCCCCTAGCTAAATTGCAGGTCTTCACTTAGCTAAGTGAACCTTTCAAAGAAATAATGGTGTATATTTAGACTTAACAGCTGTAAAAACATTGATTTATCATTTACTCTTGAAAATAATAGAATTCACTTGGACAAAGTCTGTTACGATAATGAGTTACATGTACATTATACTGCACAAGGGATGAAATTGTCTCCTAAAATTGCTGATGCATACATACAAACATGCTGAATTAGAGGCTGCTTTATCATTTCATGGGTTGTAAATGAATGTTACTGTCATGGTACTGTTCTGCCAAACTATTAAATGTTCTGACTAAGTTTTTCCTTTCAGTTGTTGCTGCTGTTTGTAAAAAAAACAAACCAAACCAAAAACAAAAACTGCATGTGAAGTAATGTTGTAATATGAAAGAGGAGAGTCGGTTTAAAAAATTTTGGGGTTTCATTACCATTTTAATTATTTTACCATACTAGCTTATGTTTATATTTTTCCCTCTTTCCATACTTACTTCAGTTGGATTTGGTGTGTTTGTAAACAGAAAAAGTGACGTTAGTGTGTTTAAAAATTAATTGTCTCAGCATCTGCTTGCTTTTATTGGTGTTTTTTCTACCTCTTCCTGGCTTGTTAACAAAGCAATACCAGTGAACTAATCCAGGGCAGCTGCAGAAGTGCTGCATATTCTATGGTAAGCAAGACATTTTACCCTTAAGATTTACTTGCAATATGTAAAGCAGAATGAGCATCTCATTCTCCAGATATGAAGGTGAGCTGACTCTGCTGATGATGAGGAAGATTTTTTTTTTTTGACCTGTAATTTGAATAATTTTGTGGGTAAGCTACTAATTTAAAGTAAATGCAGGATAACAACGTGATACTTTTTAGTTGTTTCATTGACTGTAGTCTGAAGTGTGTATATTACAGACATGACATCCATAAAGATGCGGGGATTTTAATTCAGTTTCTTACTTGGTGGATATCCCTTTCAGTAATTAATATGATGTTTGTTTACTTTTGTTTTAAAAAGAAAAGCAGATGCATATTTTCTGTGGCTTTTTTCTGACCTCATCAGCATTTCATACACTGCCTACAAAATTAACTGTTATGATAGCAGGCTCATTGTGCACAGGTCAGACTGAATGTGCTGTGACTTTCAGATCCAATTTGAATGCCTCAGTGGCTCTTCAGAAGATTCTTCTACTAGAATGCTAAAGACATCAGATACAAAAAAAACAGAGACAAAATAAACTTGGAGTTCCTTAAACAATATATACAGTCACTTTTTAAGATACAGTCACACCTTTCTGTGTTTCCTTGTCCATCATCTTATCTGTTTGATGCAGTTAATCTCATTGCCTGCTTTTTCATGCCTTGCACAATTGAAAATGCAGCTTTGAATCAAAGCCCAAGAGATGAACCTAAAATGTATTTACTGATTGACATTAATTTCCAGTGCTGGCCCGAAGAGCTATTCTACAAAATGTCAGTGAATCCATCAGAGAAGTACTCAGAGTTCAGTTCAGGCGATCAGTAGAGCTAGAGGTAAGTGATATGAAGTGCATACATGTACTCTTTTATCAATGCAATAGTGGTTTTAGTTCACAGACTGAAATGGTGATTTAAAAAAAACCCCATGTGGTACTGTATCAGAGAGAGGTTTATGCTAACTTAAATGTCAGTCATGTGATTTGTTTTTTTCTAATGTTAATATGACATCAGCTTTACTTCTAGAATGTTGTCGTTTCCTAGGACAGACCTTTTCTTGGTTTTGCTAGAGAAATGAGCAAGCAGTTCCCAACCTATACTGGTCACCACCTGAAACTGGACTGAAAAGCTTTTACCCTTCAAGATACCTGTTAAAAGCTTTTGTTTCTCCTGCTAGCTGATGATATATATACTTAACACTTGAAACAAATCCAAACCTTGTGCACAGCCTTGTGCTGTTGTATGTCGTAAATGAGGTGCATCAAGACTTGCAGGGCAAGTGGTAGAATCCCAAATGCAAGATTTGGCAGATGAAAAAGGCAAGAGGAAAAAATATCAAGTGTACCATGGTAAAAATGTTACTTTTAAGCTTTCAGATAAGTGTGACTCCTGGTCTTCCCCTGTTTACATTGCTGTACTCCTGGGGTTTTTATGTGGTTCGGTTTGGGGTTTGGTGTTGGTGTTTTGTATTGTTTTTTGTTTGTTCTGTTTGTTTGCTTGTTTGTTTTGTTTGTTTGTTAAAGTGTATTCTGCTTTGATGTTCAAGGAATCATCTTTGAACGATATTTCATTGTTGTTTCCTAATCTCAAAATAAGCGTCTGGTTGAGATGAGATTTAACATTTCTATTTCCCCCTCTGTCTCAAACCCGCTGAGTGGAAAAGACTGTAAAGGTAGTTTGGGGGTACCTTTGTTGGGTAATGTTGTATTTCAATACTGGTGACAAAATGTTTTGATGGAATTACTGGCACATGTGCAGGTTCAGCTGCAGTTGCCCTTTGTCATGTGTGTGTTCATCCAGTTGTGATAGCCCAGCACCATGTTATCTTACTTTTTTGAGCCTGTGACCTCATTTTCGTTGTGAAGTTAACTCAAGTAGCAGTTCGAATGTTGACGAGAACTTGAGTTTCTCCATGCACGGAATCCTTTGGTACCTTTAACTTCTGCTTGCTGATCTGTGTGAGGACACAGTGTTTTGACGGCTCCTGCCAAAATCACTGCTGTCTAATTAAACAACTCCTATCTGATGTTTGAGAATATACCTCCTCCTACTCAGTCTAAGATAAGATTGTTAAGAATTCTTGCCAAACTTCAACCACAGTGACCTGCCACTATAAACTGTGTTCAGTTTGGGTCCTTTTAGCAATACTTGCCCATAAAACTTTTAGGTTATTTTTGTAAAGAGGTATTTTTCTTCTCAATTATATACCTTCAGATTGTGCAAACTGGCATAGTCAAGTAGAAGTCAAAAGTTCATGATGATAGAATTACACTAATTTTCAGTGATCTTATATGCCTCAATAATATCAAAGTGCTTACCCTCTTAATAGTAACAACAGTGAGACAAAATCTGTCACTAAATATTTGAAGGTTTATCGGAACGAACATTTGATATCTAGCTTCTTTATATTTTTGCCCTTTAAATTCCTTTCTTTCATGCCCACTATTGCCTTGTAAAGTTGTTCAGTAGGATGTTTTGGCCCTAAGGCTTCTCCAAAGCCAACTGTGTTTATAAATAATGCAGGTAGTCCAGCTTCATTCTTTGCAAATTCTTTTTTATCAAAAGGAGAAGACATCTCTGTGGAATCAGTTATGCTTATTTTATGCTTAAATGCTGCTATCCTATGTTTCTTGTGATGTCTTGGATATGGGTTTTGCACTAAAAATAATCACTAGTAAATGTCTTCATCTCTAATGGTGGAGTGCTAAAAAAAAAATTACTTTTTAAAAAAGAATTGTCTATAATATCAGCATGTTGAGTGGTCATGTAATGCAAAATTTTAAATAGAATTTTTCTGTATTGCTGAATTTAATCAAACAGACCTCACTTTTGTTAGTCGAGAGTGCCCAGGAGCTTTCTATACATTTGCAAGCTATGGTAAAGCAGTGTCCTTCCCTACGCTGCTTTTTGACTGTCTGCTATTACGGCTCACAGATGTTGTTCCCTTGCTGTGATGTAATGCACAGTAAATCAGAAGACAGTCTTGTTGAATTGAACTTAGTGTAGTAATGTATGCTTTAAAAATAAAATCTGTGGCAATGATGGATGTAACTGCTGCTCGCTTTGAGTACAAATCAAGTTTAACACTGAAAGAATTAAAAACATTTTTCCCCAACTTCTTCAGTTGAAACTTTGGTCTTTGCTGCTTTATTATTTCAAACATTCTGAGTTGTTGAAGTGGAAATGAAAGGAGGCAGGCTTGAATCCTGCCTAATGAAAAAAAACTTTTGGCAGTTTTTTCCTAGCAAAAGTCCTTACAGTAAAGTGAGAATAACCTAAAATTTCAAAGCCCATTTTTTCCACTTGGTCTCAATGTATTGCATCTGCAAAATAATAAGACCCCATTGTTTGAATAAGAGTAATTTTTGTCAACTTTCTGTAATGAAAACCTTATGACACTCGAGTAAGATCTGTTATACAATGTTCCCTTGACTTAGCTTTGTAGCACTGGGTGTGAAATAAAATGGTGTTGGCAGTGACTCGCTGCCAGGACCCCTGGTGCCATCAAATTCGTGCCAAAGGGAAAAAGCTTTTAGCCATCCTCATTTGTGCTTGGAAATTTTATCACACAGTATAATGTACACCATTGCTGCTTTGCCATATTTAATGTGCGGTTTGGGGCCTGTCCTTAGCATATTGGTTTCTATAACCAAAACTGGTGAACCTCTACCTTCAAAGGAAGGAGATCAGCTCATCATCAGGCAGTTAAATACTTCTGTCAAAGGTGCCACCTTGTGGACTTGTGCTGGTGTCAATGCTGCTCACATCTGCTGAAATTCTGGCTGGTACCATTTAGGTGTGTAAAATCACTGAGAGAATTGTTGCCTTAGGGTCCTAATGTGCGTAGAAGCAGAAGCTTTGTTTAATTTTTAAGACCTGTGAGCCTTTGTAGCTCATCTTCAGGAATTTAAATGCTCTCTGTTGGCACTTTGCAGGTTGCTTAATAAGGTGGTGGTGAGAAAATGGATTTTATGCTTTCTGCCAGATGTTTACACAGCTTAATACAGTAGAGTGTAGGCATGGATTAGATAGTAGCAAAGTTGCATCTAATAAAATATTTTAGTGGACAATAATCAATAGCAAATGCTTATGGAACATCATAAGGGACAGGGCAACCATGCAGTGATGGTTTTTCCCAAATGCTCTTCTAGTCTCTAGTAAATTGAGATTTGAAAACTGTGTACTAGAAGCTGTCTCTCTTGTGAGAGTAGCTTTGAATGAGATAGGTTGTATCCTGGAAACAGCAAAGTTGGATGACAGTTTGGAGAAGGGATAGCCAAACTTGAGATGGTGTAAGAGTTCTCTGCTTCTACTGAAGATTTCTGCTTTTGCTGTGGGGATGGCTCCAAAGTGCACATGGAGCTTTTTTGTGCTTCTCTGGCTTTCTGACCTAAAGTGTTAAGACAGGACATTTGTACTTGTCTAATATAGAATTTTGTGCTTGTTTACCTATATAGGTGGCACTCTAAATGTGGTGGTTCAGGTAGGCTAATTTGTTAGCATCTAACCGTCTTAGCAGCAGAGATGAAACCTCCAAGACAGGATTGGCTGAATGGTTTGGTCTGTGAACTGTTAGAGCTCTGCCAAGAAGAGCTATTCTCAGTTGTGATCCACGAGTCATGAGCTATGCCTCTCTATCCTAGACAACTTTGCAAACTTCCCTGTGAATTAACTTACAGACAGCATCATGCTGACTTAGCTGTATTATTCCTGTCGTCTGAATTAGGTTGTAGAGCACTAACTCCAGACATCCCTGCAATATCTTAACCAAAAATCGCTATTGGTTTGAGCAGTAGTGATTCTAATCTTCCTCAAAATTACACTTGAAAGTGTGGGGGTTTGTTAATTGCCATTCTTCTGGAGTTGCTGTTGCTCTTCTGCTGCAGTGGACCACGAAAGAGAAGTAGTGGTGGCTGTTAAGACAAAGAATTTGGTGCAAAGTTCCAGGGGAGTGTGCAGAGTAAGTGCTTTTGTTAAATCTATGGTGCATGGCAACAGGTCAGAAATGGAGACTAGTTCTCAGAGTCTTGCTTTCTTGTCTGAAATACCTGACTGGTGCATAAGTATATGCTGGTTATACTCGGCCTCTCTTCCTCAGCATATATGACTTTAGAAATTACCAGCAAATTGTCACTGAGATTTGTAATTCGAATTTGTCTTTTTCTTCCCTTTTAAGTAGTCCCCTTTGCAAGAAATGGACAACTTTATTTTGGCATGTCTTACCCGTTATAACTGCTGTGTTTCCGTTTGACAAACGGAAGCTGCAGAACTCATTTCATCCTAAGATAAAAGGATAAAGTTCCAGATAAGAGGAACTGAAAAGAGCTGTGCTTGTTATTCATATCAAACAAATTTGAGTTCTATTGGGTCTAAATCCATTAAAAATAAAAGCTGAATGTTGCATATATTTGTGGACTAAGGAGGAAGAAAGGAATAACGAGAAGCATAGATTATTTTCTTTTTTCATTCTGCTACTGAGGTAGTTTCTTCTGGTGAAGATGAGCTCTTTGAAGTGCATGCTTTTTAGAGGACAGGAAAGAGATTCTTCCTGTCTCATTTAAACAGCAATTGCCATCACTTTACATGGTTGCAGAAATATCAGTAAGGGTGGCATTGTGGTAATTGTGACATGTGGGTCACAATTTAAGTAGCACTAGGCTTTGCTGTAAGGCTGATCCTGAAGTTGAGGGTATCTAACATATCCCTTCATCAGCACAAAGCCTGCAAGGTGCTAGCATGTCTTCATCCAAGAGGTGCACTGTGGTGGTTTAAACCACTTTAT